AATAATCCATCTATACCTGCCAAAAAATTAATGGTTAAATGGAGGTGTTCGAGTCGCAAAATACCACAACATTTGTCATCACACTGTACAAAAGCTTAACTGCTCCCGCAAGTTGTTAGACCGCAAAATCGCCACTGAATATTTAAAGCTGAGAACGAATACGTGTTCTTATCACAGGACAGCCAAATCACCACAACCATACATTGAGTAGTTTTGTCCCCTACCTATATTTCTCCCGTTGTTAATGGTACAATCAGAAAAGTTTGTAGGCAAAGAACTATTTGTGGAATATTATGTCGCGAGTGAAAACCAAACTGGAGGCGAGGTGATCAAGCCAAAAACTTTTAGGGTATTTTTACATAATTTTATCTGTCAGGTGATTAGCCGCGAGGACATAGACCATGTCAAACTCACACGGCACCAAAGTGTTCACGTTTTTCAGATTCGCTCAGTAAGATGGCACTCTATGATCGAACCACACTGAAGAAGGACAGTAATCACCATCAAACTGCGCTTAATAATTGAATTTTGGCAGGATCCTTTCAATACCACCGAATAAGAGATTAACTGTGAAACCAATAAAATCTAAAAATCCTTTTAATAATGAAAAACACGATTCCAACAGTAGCGTATACTTGTTCAGTGTATTTCGGCCAGCATGCACATAACCAAACTTTCGATTATTTTTCACTTTTCGATTTCGCTGAAGAACAACGTTCTCTCGAGTTAGTTTAAAGTCCCTGGAAATCGGAAATATCGTGCGAGCTCTTGGAAATCAAGTCTAAGAAGGTCAAAATCAAAATTTGCGTAGCCAGGTCTCTGCTTCTTTCCGGTTTCTGCATATGCTACATTTCGGCCAGCATCCACATGACCAAGCTTTCGATTATTTTTCGCTTGTCGATTTCACTGAAGGACATGGTCTTGTCGAGTTACTTTGAAGTCCCTGCAACTCGGAAATATCGTGCAAGCTCTTGGAAATCAAGTCTACGTATGTCAAAATCAAACTTTGGGTAGACCAGTCTATGCTTTTTTCCAGTGTCTGCGTAAGCTCTATGTCGGCCAGCATGCACCTAACAAAGCTTTCGATTAGTTTTCCCTTGTCGATTTCACTGAACAACAAGGTCTTGTCGATTAGTTTAAAGTCTCTGGGACTCGGAAATATCGTCCAAGATCGTCAAAGTCAAGGCTAGGTAGGTCAAAATCAAAGTTTGCGTAGCCAGGTCTATGCTTTTTTCCAGTGTCTGCGTAAGCTCTATGTCGGTCAGCATGCACATAACTAAGCTTTCTATTATTTTTCGCTTGTCCATTTCACTGAAGGACAAGGTATTCTCGCTTTAAAGTCCCTGGAACTCGGAAATATCGTACAAGCTCTTGGAAATCAAGTCTAAATAGATCAAAATCAAAGTTTGCGTAGCCCGCTCTCTCGTTCTTTCCAGTGTCTGAGTAAGCTATATTTCGGCCAGCATGCACATAACCAAGCTTTCGATAATTTTTTCCTTTTCGATTTCACCGAAGGACAAAGTCTTCTGAAGTTTTTTTAAGTCCCTGGAACTCGGAAATATCGTGCAAGCTCTTGGAAATCAAGCCTAAATAGTTCAAAATCAAAGTTTGCATAGACCGGTCTGTTAAGTTTAACAGTGGCTATATTTCGGCCAGCATGCACATAACCAAGCTTCTGATTATTTTAGGCTTGTTGAATTGACTGAAGAGCAAGGTCTTCTCGAGTTAGTATAAAGTCCCTGGGACTCGGAAATATCATTCAAGCTCTTGGAAATCAAGTTTAAGTTCGTCAAAATCAAAGTTTTCGCAGCGCGGTCTCTACTTTTTTCCAGTGTCTGAGTAAGCTATATTTCGGTCAGCATGCACATAACCAAGCTTTCGATTATTTTTCGCTTGTCGATTTCACTGAAGGACAAAGTCTTCTTGAGTTAGTTTAAAGTCCCTGGAACTCGGAAATATCGTGCAAGGTTTTGGAAATCAAGTCTAAGTAGGTCAAACCAAACGTTTGCGGAGCCCCGGTCTCTACTTCTTTCCAGTGTTTGAGTAAACTATGTTTCGTCCAACATGCACCTACCCAAGCTTTGGATTATTTTTTGCTTGTCGATTTCTCTGAAGAACAAGGTCTGCTCGAGTTAGTTTAAAGTCCTCTGGACTCGGAATATCGTGCAAGCTCTTGGAAATCTAGTCTAGTAGGTCAAAGAAAACGTTTGCGCAGCCCGGTCGCTACTTCTTTCCAGTGTCTGAGTAAGCTATATTTCAGCCACTATGCACATAACCAAGCTTTTGATTATTTTTCGCTTGTCGATTTCACTGAAGGGCAAAGGTCTTTTCAAGTTAGTTTAAAGTCTCTGGGACTCCTTAATATCGTCCAAGCTCTTGGAAATTAGGCCTAAGTCTGTGGAAATCAAAGTTTGCGCTGCCTTTCTCTGCTTCTTTCCAGTGTCTGAGTAAGCTATATTTCGGCCAGCAAGCACATAACCAAGCTTTCGATTATTTTTCGCTTGTCGATCTCACTGACGCACATGGTTTTCTCGAGTTAGTTTAAAGTCCCTGGAACTCGGAAATATCGTGCAAGCTCTTGGAAATCAAGTCTAAATAGGCCCTAAACCCTAGCCCTATCCCTGACCGTCAAGTAGTTTAAGACCCCCGTACGGAGGCTAGATCTAAGCAACATCCTAGATGGATTTAGTGGCTGCCATCTTTTTAACTCATAATTTTAATTTCTCTTATAAGACTTTTTTGTATATTATATCTAGATAGGTCTTGTTAGATGTCCCCCATTAGCAGTGGGGATTCTAAACTGCTAGATGTAACTGACACGATAATAAAGTCATTATTATTATTATTATTATTATTATTGTTATTATTATTCATTAAATATGAGGTCTTTATTCTTCAGTCAACTGTTTGTCTAATTATCATAATTATATCACCTCTAGTTCGTATAAAAATCATAACATTAATTAACATATTCCATAGAAAATACTACTTATTATAATATTATTATTATTATTATTATTATTATTATTATTATTATTATTATCAGTTTGCGCAGCCGGTCTCTGCATTTTTCCAGTGTCTGAGTAAGCTATATTTCGGCCAGCATGCACATAACCAATCTTTCGCTTATTTTTCGCTTGTCGATTTTATTGAAGAACAAGGTCTTCTCGAGTTAGTTTAAAGTCCCTGGGACTGAAATATCGTGCAAGCTCTTGGAAATGAAGTGTAAGTAGGTCAAAAAAAAGTCTGCACAGCCCGGTCTCTGCTTCTTTCAACGTCTGAGTAAGCACTATTTCGGCCAAAATGCAAGTTGCCCCTGAATTTTATAATTAATATTCTTGTCTCAGTAGGATTGCCTCAGGGGCTGCTTGAAATGTGTTTAAATCATTTTAGCTGCGCGCTCGCTGATTTTCGCCACTGTTTCAGCTGCCAGTAAATCTACTTGATCACAATAAACCGCGCTAAAACAAACGCACGAAGAAAACAATAGCCTTCGCTTTCCTGGAAAGCTAAGAAAGTAGGAGTTCTGCCGAGATAATTACTACCGGCTGGAATGATACAAACAATCGTCGTTTTTTTCCCTTTTCCTTTTTCTTCTTCGGTTCAATCAACGTATAACGTAACATAATAAACAGCACCAAATTAAAGGACGAAATTAAATTCGTTTCTTTTTTCCGTTAAGGTGATCGGGCTTTTTTGGCCCAATCTATATCAAAAATTGAATAACTTACTGTTTCTTAGTCTTGATGAAGCCCGTGCAACAATACTTGGTGATCTTCTTTGTGTCGGCTTCGAAGTAGTTTGTAAAAAAAAACGTTTGTTAAAATTATTTAATTACGATGTGACTGAGAGATTGTCATAAATACAAAAGATAACTGATTATGCGTTTGTCTGATTTGCTCAGTGCACGGTGGTTTTTCTCGAAAATTTGTTTATGCGAATTATGGTGTATTGACAAGATGCAAATAAGTAAGGTGCATTTTCGAGCCATGGTATAACTGATAAACTGAAAAACGAGGAAACCGCAACAAAGAACAAACAGAAGGTTTCTAAGGAAAACTTGGAGCAGAAAGAATCAACGCACAATAAGAGAGAGGTATGAGATTTTAATTACGAAACGTTCGTTGCGGCGAAGCCGTTGTCTCCTTGAATATCACGTTTGAACCCAATTATCAAGCAAGATAAGATTGAATATTGTGCATTGTAACTTCGTCTAGCTGAGATAATTAGCGAATAGCAAACGTTCTGTTTTTCTTTTTGTCAGTTCGTGTCATCTCTAAATTTCCAAACGATTGACTTATCTCCGGAATTGTTGATTTAGAGAAAGAGAAACTACAGGTATCATTGAACAGTTCAAAGGAGTCCGGAATATTTATTTCCTATTGATATTCTCGGTGTTAATTTTATCAGTTACCTATCTTGCTTGTTTCTCGATTTTTTGAGGAGCCTCAATAACATCAACTTGGGTTTTTTGATTGAATTTTTGCTCTTTCAGTGTCCTCTGAATTTTTTACCAGAAATATTAAGAATAATCAATGTCAGTGCGATCCGGTTCGTGTCAGGGCAAACAGCGATTTATCCAGAATCTGACCCAGAAAATCTCATTTTTTTTACTTTGCCGTACCCATATCCGGCTAAGTGACCATGCGATATCGTAGCCATATCAGGTCAGTGACTTGATATCGTAGGAAATCAGGGCTGGATACACAGCTTCTGATTGGCTAATAGAAAATTTTGACACGATAAGAGTTAATACTTTTATAAATGGTATTGGAAAAATACAATGAAGACTCCACAACGACTAGCACGTGTACATAATCGATTAGATTTTTGTGTGTCACCAATTAAATCACAAAGGCACTAAAGCTTATATCCAGAGTTTGTTTTTGAAAAGTGAGAAAAATATGACCGTTGTACATGTCAGTGTAATAACCTCCGCTTGATAAATTCACAAGCGAGCCAATGAAAACATATATAAGAAATCCTATAAAAGTAAATATATGAAAGATCATATATTTGAACTGCGGAGACAGATATGAATCTCCGACATGATTGACATGATTGTATAACTGCGGTGATCAATCACGTCTTCATAAGAAACCCAGTGTCCATATCTTACCTTGACAGCTCTACAAGTGTTTGCCCTATAAAGTTATTTAAAAAATACGAAGTGTTCACTATCTAAATTCTCGTTACAAAATCGATAACTTTCCGGTAGACAGGTGACAAGAACAAAGAAAGCATTTGTTTTGATTTACCACTAAATTCTTCGAACTGAAATTTAAAGAGGAGTATGTCAATCAGTTAAGAGAGTTGACAGCGTGGAACTGAAGTACATTCACATTTGTTAATAATTAACGTGAGCCCTTAAGCGCCTTTTGTTTTGCAGGCGACGTTTCGCCTCAGGGGCCATTGTCGGCATTGTTAATTGTTAGCTTTGACGCACCTTTACTTCCATAAATGTTTGTTTGTTTAACAAGGTGAGTCATTTTAGCTTTCGATAGGCAAAATGGTATGTTCTTAACGTTATCTTGGGTCAAATTTCGACTCATCTGTCGGCACATCCTTCATTTGAACGCGTACGGCTTCAGTGAAATCGACACCTCTAATGATCTGTGGATACAAAATTTCAAAGTAAGTTTGCTTTATTGTTGGATCCTTTCTTTCCTTCAAGTCGGATGAGCCCGGATATATAATTCTTATCCTATCCTTACATTGCGCTGAATACGTTACAGTTCTCAATCTCTACCTGGGTTTGTGAGTTCTATGATATTAATTCAGTGGCTTGCGCTGTTTACGATTTGCACTCTGATTTAATTCCGGCGCCACTCTGACCTGCTCCAACAAATTTGAAAACGTCAATCTATGGAGAATTTGTTCCGGTAACATTTGAAGCTTAAAAAAATGAGCGAACAACGTTCAAAGTCAAAGATTTTAAAAAGCTCTTATTTGAAGCCCCAGATTATTTTCTTGGCCCCCGTTGCAACTGGCGTAACGATCACTTTTCGCTCGAATTCTCAATTAGTCATTGACACTTTATTGGCACAACACTTTCGCTTCCATTGCCAACAAACTTCTTTAATTTTAATTTTTAAACGAATTCTAAATACTCAATCCGAAAGCCTAACTTAAATCACCAGTCTATCGCAGTTTTCCCGGGTAATTTCAATATTTAAGGTTTTTAAAATGTTAAAATCTGTTTTCAGCTTTTCCGCTCCATTTCATTTTTAAGGGGTTGAAATTTTGAGATGCGCAGTCTTGGCATCAATTTATCTCTTAGCTATTGTGAATATAAAGCTGCACTTTCCTCTTAGCGAAATGAAATTTGGCTTATATCTATCCTTTCTCTTTGTTTCTTTTTTAAAAAGCTTGGGTATGGTAAATGTGAGTCACTTTTAATGTGGTACAAATCAAGGAGGAAGCAGTAAACTCGAAAGGGTGGCTCTGTATCTTAGACTAAATGAATACTTAAATTTTAGAATAAATTTTCAAGGATACGCTACCAGTGACGTAGCGCCTTAAACAACCAATCACGACTGTGGAGATAAGAAAATATGAAGATGAATTTATAATTTTTACCGCGTTCTTTCTTATCCACTGAAGATCTGCAAGGAATTACCCTTTGTCTATTTTTCCAATCTTTTAGTATAATTAAAATGCTCATACAAAATAAACTTTTAGGCCTTGACTCCGAATTACAACATTACTTTTATCCCGAGAGTTTATCTGCTAATCCATTTGGAAACTTTAAATGTGCGATATTAAAATATACTGATATTTGAAAGAGCTTGTTGGCTGCGACTAAATTCAGGGAAAATCGAACGTTCCAGAGAGGCTTTCAGCAACTGTGTAATTGGGGAATTACGTACGAAATAAAAATTACGGACGTAAAACCAAACGGAATATAACAGGGAAATGTGATGGCTATTTTTATTTCTTGTTCAAATCTTGCAGGGTGTAGCAGGTGTAGCAAAACAAAAATAATTCAGGCAGATATCAAGATGCTCAACAATACGAACTCATCAGCGCCCCAACATCCCCAAGACGACATCTTGAGCGTTGACACTCAAGCAATAGCTGAGCTAGTTCCTGTTGCATTACTGATTATCCTTGCCAATGGATTGGTGTTAGTTTTATTTGTGAAAAAGACACATCTTCGTACACCAGCAAATTACGTCCTTTTCAGTTTAGCTGCTTGTGATTTCATCACCGGAATCGTCAATATTCCCTTGTTCATCGTAGTCGCGTTCACACTGCTTATCGGGCCGTCAGACCATTATATGGTTCTTCTGGTGAGCGTGGTCAACAATTTTACAGCCATATCAGCTTGTTATCACATACTAGCTGCAACTACAGAGAAATATCTGTCGATAATCTGGCCAGTGAAGCATCGATCGATAACCAGGAAAACAGTTTTTAAAGTGCTTCAAGTTGTTTGGGTGGTGTCTTTCATTGTGGCTTTCATTCCCTTTGCTTGGGTTAACATGGAGGATACAGAAACGCAAAGGAAATTAACACTAGAGCATGTCATATTCTGTCTCGTGGCAGTTTTCCTGTTGCCGTATGCATTTATGATCTATGCCTTTGCGGTTATTTTCAAATCAATTTCCAATCAGGGGAAGACGGAAGGAAACATTATCTCGAGGTCACATTTCAATCGACAAGCTGCTCTAGAAAGAAGATGCTTAATTTTGTTCGCTTCTATGGCAATAATCTTCCTTGTATGTTGGTTGCCATGGTTTATTTTGTTGCTCATGTACAAGGTAGAAGACAATTTGGAAGACATGGAAATTGCAGCTCACGTGTTTGTGCTCGTTAGGTATGCTACCTCTATCATAAATCCTCTACTGTACACGTTTTTTAGACGAGATTTCAACAAGGCACTCAAGTCTCTGTTTAAAAGGAAACGATCACAGCGCTTTTCGAGAGACAGTGATGTCAACAGGCAAATTTTAACTAAAGACGGGGATGACACTGCTGAGGACATCGTCTGACTCATTTGTGTTGAAAGACATTGTCTAGGGCCTCGATTTGTCTTGAAAACCGATCACAGCTTGCTTGTTATTTAATTCTAAGAGAAATACTTGAAGGAAAAGCTCAGTTTTGGCGCTTTTACTGAACAATTTACCTAATGGAGCTCATTGAAAACATGCCTTATTAAAGTTCTACTGAAACGATTCTTATTATCCAATAGCAAAGTAAGTTAAGTTAAGTAAACTTTATTTAAACAGGGTGGCCCATTCATCTCCAAAGCTGGTCTCCATAGGGGCCCTGTATCTAAAAGTTATACAGATTAAAAGCCTGAAATACAATAATAAAATTTAAGAACATTTACAACCTCCTAGCAAAATTATACATATATAAAAGCTTTTATTCTTTCCAGAACTTTCCAGAGTGAACATTGTAAGTATACTATTCCTAAAGCAATTTAATAATTCTTCGAACATCTTTGGGCGGTAAGAATTGCCTTACTCAGTTTTTATTCCTCTTTGACAGTTTAACACATTCAGCTCTAGCTACAAACTATCAATTCTTCGTACATTTTTGAAGTTTACTTCACGTTCGTCACCTGTTCGTGTGAGGATCTGTATCCGGCCATTGTCAAAAGAAACTTTATGTTTATTACTGTTGGATTTATAACTGAGAAGCTGACATTAATCAAAAGACAAATGTGACTTCTGTACGGAAATTAACACCGAACATTAAAGTGTAAAAACGTTCTAGAAAGGCCTCAGGGTTATTTTTTGTTCGTAAAAGCAACAGTAGCCTTAATGTCATCAGAGTAGTATGAGAAAATAAAAACTCTGCCTCGAATTACATGATTTATCAGACACCATCGTCAAATAAAATGAATTTTTTTCATCGGTTCGCTTTCAGTCAGCTTTAAGTACGGCATTTACATGGAAAAGAGCTTCCCTCGATTAAGTGCTGGTGCCGAATGAGGGCTGCACATGAGAGTACTTTTAAGCCCATGAAAAATACTTTTAAACGGCGCTTTGCTAAACAACAACTCCAAAGTGCTTAGTCCAAGCACTTGAATTCTAGAGCGACATTAATTGTAAGTGGCTTACACCCCAATGTAGCCGGCTGATTGATTCCATTTAGCAAGGAAGCAGTGACATTGATATTTTAACAATTTCAAGGTATGTAACACGCGACGAATCCTTTACTTGTCTAG